GAATCATGTGTCCATACTCCTCTTGATTTATCGTATGCTCAATATTTCCTACATTGACAAAATCAGAAGACAAATACTGTCACAAAATACTGGTTTTAATATAATACTAGATCACATAGCTATGAAAACATACTATTGATATTATGGAACAAAAATCACTCTTTCATGTCTCACAGTTTTAGAAACAAGTGAGTGGGTTGCTGCAAAGCTTTTTCACCTACCTTCAAGGGAATCTCCCAACACATATCTCATGATATTTTTTCTTCAATCGTAAATTTGAAGTCATAATATTGTGGAAATATTCACCTTCTGATTTAGGGTTGAAAGTAAACATTTAATATTTTTGGAACATATACAGAGAGAAAGTACACCAGTTTTTTCGTAGCTTACTTGAGCTGAGAGAAATGGGTGTAAATGTTTTAGTTTGTGTAATATTTATGTGTTTTCTGATTCTCATTTTCTCATTTCTTTTGTTATTGAAAATTCACTTGATGTAGCTTCTGCATAAAAGTGGAAACCATGGCCTCAACTGGCTAATGCAGAATCATTTGTGAGATACATTTTCACCGATTTCTAGGGGACCGATGTTTATGAGTCTGTGAAATTTGGTGTAGCTTGATTTGGTAGTATGTGTTTTGAGCGCCATTCTTGTTGTTGGATGCTAAACCGATCACTTGCTCTGAGAATTACTGTGATTGGTGATTTCAAGGAAGCTCCACCACCAGCGACTTCAAAACATCCTTCATGATATTTATCATACAGACTGGACCTTCTTTCTTAAAAAAGTCATAAAAATTAAAGTAACAAAATGTAATTTGAAAACCACTGTTATACATTTTCAACCCTTAACTTAAAATGTATTTCCAATGGCTAATTTTAGCAGCACGTGGCAGCTGCCAGGTCATCGTGTCAGACCTCGATTGCAGTCATTTGTGTTTGAAAATACAAGGACACAGACAAACTCTTGACTCAGTTTCAGAAGCTGAATGCTGTTTCATCTCCCCTCATTGTCTGTCTCGCCCTTACAACCTCCAGCCACTGCCATTTTCCTGTGTTGCATAACTTTCTCTCCTAAACCTTGAGGACTGAACAGCCATACACATTCTGATTACCAAGCCAGTGAATTAACACGTTTCATGTGGGAACATTACATGAGTCCTTATATTAAATCTCTAACATTCACTTGCATATTTTTTCCACATTGAAATAAATTGTCCCTTTTGAATAGAGGAGCAAAAACGGAATGAAATTAACACCATTACTTCTATTGACATGATTTTCTCAGCCTTGCACCTCTAACATTTCATACAATAAGACTTTTAATCATGTTAGCCAGATTAAACTCTGAAATTCAAATATTCAAGGTCTTTACTCAACAGCAGTGCTCCAGTTGCCCCTCCGAAAAGCCACTCAATCTATAACAAAGAGGCACAAGAACAGAGCCCTCTATGGCAGTCCCACACCTGTGAGAGGGTGTAGAGGTTGTTTAGTATGGTTGAAGTACACACACTAAAACACAAAGACCTCAGCCAAAGCTCTCTGGGAGGACGTGTAATGGTGTGTCAGATGTGAACAACTTAAGCAATATGAGGAAAATGCTGGTAAACAGATCAATGGAGGCCCGAGTGAGCAGCAGGCAGGCCACAGCTATCTCCCAGCCCGCAGTACACACAGATGTGTTAACATGATCGAATGAGGCTGCGGAGTGAAAAACAGCAACCTCCTGAGCACATTTAGCAGTTTGGATCCACTGGATTTATGCTTGACTGCGCACCACATCCTTTAAAAACCATTGACATTACATGGTATGCATGTTTTTACTTAATATTGAGCATGGTTTTAGCTGGAGTCCCACCCATTTGTAATGCATTTATAAATGTTCAATAAATGTTCAGTTATCAATTATATCAACAGAAAATATGCTGAGAGGGTGTCATCTGCAATTTAAATCAATTCACAAAATAGTTGGGTTGTAGTTGTGGTAGTTTTCAGTTGATATAACTAATCAGTCAATTGTTAAGCTAAATATAGGAAATGCTTGTTTGAATTGAATTGATTTTTATTGAGTGTTGTTTCTAAATTGCAGCTTGATATGTAGATAAGACTTTAGTGTTGATTAATTTGAATATTCCTTTAATGATCTGATTACCCACCTAAAATAATTGTATTTGATTAGATAATAGTAGTAGTAATAGTAGTAAATTTAAATAAAATTCTAGTTTAAATGTGTACATTAATTTTACCCCTTAATTTGTTTGTTTTTTAACTAACGTTTCACATAAATAGTGTCATCTTCAATGAATATTGGCGCAAACTGTCAGATAATCAGCCAATATTTGTATATAAAAGTAATTGGTAGTTCAAATAAACATATTGGTCGACACAGTGCACATGTGTCTTTGCTATCTCATCTATTAAAACCATCCTTTGAGTGGTTGTTAAATGAGACATGAGAGCGAGGTGAGTGGTTGTTTTGGTAACATCAGCACAGATCCTCCGTCCACGTGGCTCTGAGAGCTGGAAACCCTTATTGTCTTTAAGCTGTACTTTTCCAGCTCTCTCTTTCCCCCGCTGAGCCGGGCCCTGAGCTGTAGGGCTAATGGAAAAGCGGGTACACACACAAGTCAGCCAGTGCAGAAATATTCTCACCACTGGCGAAATATTGACTGAAATTGGTGAGGGAAAAGATTGGATTGTTAAATGGCTGTGCCTTCGCAGAGAGATTTTGTGTGAATGAAAAATACAGTTTACCTATTAAGTGCTGCTATTTTGTAGTCTGTTAGCATATGAGACATTTGTCAAGAGGATTGTGGGACATAAGTGGGTGATTCAGGCCTCGGTGGCACACTTTATGGATGACACAGGAAGCTCAGTCTTACTGCTAAAGCATCTAATTAGGAACGAACTATCGCATATTTCTATCCAGTGAAAGAAGTGACTCCGGGTCTTGGTTGTGGGAATGTGGAGGGTGTGTTTTGTTGTTTGCCATAATTGGACAAATACACCTGTCTGAAATGGATTGAAAAGTAGCAATAAGGTGGCGTCTGAGTGTTTCCCACCAGTCATCTTTAGGCTAAGCAGTGTGGTGTGTGGACTCTCATGTCATGATGTCAAGTTTGGGGAGGGGGGGGGCATAGTGCTGTTCTTCTGTGGACTGGGGTTAAAAGTGCATTAGAGGTCACAGGAGAGTGTCTACAGTGGCCTGTTACCTCTTCCCCCCACGGTGCGGTTGGTAATGACCCTAGAGAGTGTAGTAACCCCCCCCCCCCCTTCTCCTCCTCCCTTCTCCTCTCCCTTCCCTCCTTTCTCACACACACACATACACAGCATAGCACATGCACTCAACACACAAATACTCTCCTTAACCTGGAGGAGTTCAGGAGTGTGTGGCAGGGAAAACCTGGAGTGGAATTTGTTATCTTGCATAATGTTGGTTGACCGCCCCGACAGCCTGTTGATCCACCCGCACCCCCCTCAATCACCTACAGTCTTCCCCGAACACACACACACCAGCCTACTGCTGAGCCGCCCCCCACCCGACCTCCTCTTTCTCACTGCACCACTGTCATTCATAGAGTGCCAAAGCCTGCTGCTTTATTAAAGCCCAGGAAGAGCAAGGCCTGGCCCAGGTTCAAACAGCAGTGCAGCTGGGACCTGTTACATTTTCGGCAGACTGCCCTCTCCGTCTCGCTGGCTATAAATAGCACCGGTGGTTGTCTCCCTTAACCAAGGAAAAGAGGTTTTTGGGGGGGAGGAAAAAAACACACACACAGATTAATAACCGTGGGAAGCAATGAAAGCTTTGTGTCTGCTGCCTGAGGTCAGCAGGCCAGGAGGTGTTGCTACTTCAAAGCCCCCATTGAGGCTCATACTTGCAGACGCCGCCACGGTGGGTTTGTTTCGAGCACACAGGGGCTGTAAGCTGTGTGATGAGTTGATGGCATTGGATCGTGCCAACCAGAGTGATCCCCATGTTTCTTGGAGCCCTTGTGTGAATTGTTTTCCCTATTTTTAACTCTGGAGGATGACCAGATGATTGCACTCATTTGTTTTTCAATTGTATTAATTTTTAACTTCACTGGAGGAGTGTTGTTTTGTTTCGGGGGGTTTCCACCAACCTCATCTCCTGTGCACACACACACACCATCATAATGCACTTTATGACCTTGGCTCCAGATGTTGACTGGTGAGGTTACCTCCTTATGAACCCACCTTCTCTTCCTCCTCCTCCTTCGCTTTCTGTTTCCAACATTGGTTCTCCAGCCAGAGAAAGCTGTCTGGCCCAGTAAGATTGCCTGCTCAGGCCATGTGGATCTCCACGAGTCCAAGCAGGCCAAAGTCAGCCCCCACCACCATCACAACCCCGCCCTCCATCCTGACAGGGCTCCAGCTGAGGGGTGGGCCCAGCTCCAGTCACCGCAGACACTTCCACTTCCTTCAGCTTATTTTCGTAGAAACCCTCCCGACGTCTCCACCGTAACAGTATCCACCCACTGGCACAATGATCTCTTGGGCTGGGAAACGCTCCTGGCGGATATAGTGGGCCCATTCATTCATTCATAGCCAATTTTTTCCCTTTTCTAGTAGGAAAGTAAATCCACTACTGCTTTTTGCCTCCCCCTCCTTCTTTTTGTTCTATATCTGCTAGATTATACTGTGACTGGTTTATGAGATGACGCTTGCATGACACTCTGCAATGGAAGACTCATCACTTGTGTTTTTGCCGAGTAATGTGTTAAAAGAAAACCTTCCAAAAAATTCTAAAACAACTCTATATTTGACCTGGACATGTTCTGAACAATCTCGTATCAGTGGCATCATTACAGAGTCTGTTGATGTGTCTTACTACACATTCTTATAGGGGCAGTAGATTCATTATAACCATCAACCCCAAAACCAGGAGTGAAAAAAAAAATTATCTTGGCTTTGGTGCCAGCATTGCGGGTCTATCCATCCACTGTTTCAACTCATTGATTCAATGTTCTCTCTGTGTTGTTAAGCCTCCAAGCCCAATGGACCAGGTAGGGAAGATGCGTGGCCAGCCATATGGAGGACCCAACCCCTACTCCCAGCAGCAGCAAGGGCCTCCCACAGGGCCTGGACCCCAACAGGGAGGCTCATACCCAGGCCAGGCCTATGGACCTACTGGGCCTCAGAGATATCCAATGGGGATGCAGAGCCGAACACCCGGCACTATGGGTGGCATGCCGTACGGACAGCAGGTTAGTGATAAATGAGATTACTTTCTTCATTTCACCCTTGTAAGACCCCTTTTTACAGTTTAATATGATTGAGATGCTCTTGTAATATTTGAACGTCTTTAATTGAAACTCATGCCCACTGATTTATACTCTAGTATCATTCTTTATACTCTAATATCATTCTCCTGGATTATTGAGGAAAACCGCAGGTTCTTCACCACATTATTGAGATCACACTTTGAGTTTAGAACAGAAAGTCAGGAAAACGGCAAATAGTTTTTGTTTATCTCCTTATCTTAAGTAGAAATCATATTAAGATGATATATTTATGAGTTAAGATGTGTGTTGTCTATTTTGGTTGACTTCAAAGTGCAGCAGGTTAATATCTGGGGCCGGAGCTTGGTTGGCCAGGGGTTACAGATTGTTTTCATCAAGCCAAAGGCAAATTTAAGTGAGCAATTATCAACATGAGTGTTGCAATGAACAAATATTATGTCACTATCTTGTGTAATGAGGACAGAAACTTGGATATTAAATTGCTGCTTGGGTTGAGAGGGCAGCATATTAAAGAGCAGTGAAATGGATTTGTCCAGTCATCTCCTGACAACTGTAACACGATGTGACAGTATGGCACTCAATGTTCTGTGAATGGAAGAGCCAAACCATGACCACAACCTGTACTGCTTCTGAATGAACTGAGGAAATGATGGGGTCTACAATTACTAAAATCCTACACCACATCTCTGTTAGTAAAAATAAATAACTTCTTGCCTGATGAACTTTTGTGGTATGTATTCATGGTGCACAGCTTCGTTTAAAGTCAAGACCACAAGTTAATATGTTTACATTCCTGTATGGGGTTACTAGAGCATTTATTTGGTTAGTAACTGAGTGTTACAGGGATTTTGGAAATGTTAGCTTACAGTAAGTAAAGGAACTTTAGTGAACATGCTCATTGGACGTCACACACACGGTTTGAGAACGACAAAACTGGCTCTGTCATATTGTTTTCTAAAAAATTCTCTTTCTCAAGAGCTGTATGTGTTTCATACGGGATAATAGACGACCAACAGAGTTAATGGAGATCCCACAACTCCAAAATTTAGCATCCGACACCTAAAACTGCAAAAGGAGTGAAAATAAAAGCTCCTCCAGGTACAGCCTTGTGTAGAGCAGTTCATCAATTTTTCACTGTCTGGTTTAGTTTCATGCTTCCAAGCAAAAGTTGGGGAAATTCTGCTGTGTCTGCCGGCACAGTGGGCAACATATTCTGACAGCGTTGTCCAATTGAAAACTGCAAACATCCAGTTTGCCACAGCTACCCAGTCATAGCTGGGAATAAGCCCCTTCTTGAACTCTCTTAGCCAGGCAGTCCGTCTTAACAGAGAAATGCATGCAGGGAATCCCGTAGAGTGAAGCCTTTTCTTCCACATCCGCTGTCTGTGGTCTTGTGCCCATTGTGTGATGTGATTATCTCATACTGGCCTGCCTGGTGTCTGACCGTGAACTCGATAAGTGCCCTGCAGAGAAGAAAACGGCTTCCCTCCCTTTGTCGGACTGATACAATACGGCCACTTCATGTTGTTTTAATGTGTGGCAATTCTTCACCCGTATTTTCTTTGAATTCTTGAGTAGCTGAGAACCCTCCCCAAACAACATGTGGCTTTTTTTCCTCTCCCTCCTCTTCTTCCTCTTTTATTACTATGTTTCCTCACAAGGTCAGCGCTTTCTCTTTCCATGCTTCTTGAGGGTAATGAAACGAAAACGCTGTATTGAAAAGCTTTCGGTGCGCAGGATCGGATAGAATATGAAAAGCCCCATATTGAAGTTCAAGGAGATGAAGTCAAAACTCAATTTTTATTTTCATGGCTGTAATTTAAAGCAATACTCCACTGAATACCAACACTTAGATGGCTTTTCTTATGCGGCTTGACTGATCAGTTTATATCAAGGAACATACTCCTCTCTCTTACAGACAGAGAGAACAGTTGTCATCTCCTTTTATTCTGAGTAAGATGAAGAGATGCTCTGATTACTCCACCGAGAATGAAGGGTAAAAAAATCAAAGAGGTGACTTTGGATATTGGGTTATTTTTATATATTTTTACGTCTCTAGAAAGGGTGCTGTCAGTGCACAGACTATTTTCAGGTAGTGATTGATATTCCACTGAGGGGCTGAGGATAGTAAACCTGTAGTAAAATCTGTGATCTACTTAAGAAAGCTATTTATGCTCACAGGCAATTCGGCTATGCTGGGTCATTATAGTTATACTCAGGCCTTGAGCGGTCTTCCCTTTTTTCCTAAGGAGAACTGTTATCGATCCTACCTGATCTTCTTGTTGTTCTTTTTTAGATGTCAACCTATGGACAGCAGGGCCCCGGAGGCTATGGCCAACAGAGCCAGGGCTACTATGGTCAGCACGGCCCCCCAACTCACCCTGGCCAGCAACAGCCTGCTTATCCTGTCCAACCACAGGGCAGCTCGGGACCTCCCTACTCCCAGCAGGGCCACCCTTCACAGTCTCCTGGCCAACATGGGCAGACAGGACCCCCTTACCAACAATCTCAAGGTCCCCATGGCCCTCCCCCAGGACAGCCTCCCTATAGCCAGCCCTCACAGTCTCAGCCGGGACAGCCACCATACGTCCCTCCCCAGCAGCAGCAGCAGTCGCAGCAGCCGCCCCAACAGCAGCAAGGTCCTGGTCCCCAAAGTCAGCAGGGCCCTCAGGGCCAGCCTGGCTACCCACAACCCCCAGGACCAGGGCAGCCACCACAGCAGCAAACCCCACAACAACAGCAGCAACAACAAGGGCCCCCACAACAACAACCACAGCCACAGCCACAGCCAGGAGGTCAGCCTCCTCAAGCCCAGCAACCTCCAGGTCATCAACAGGGTCAAGCATCACCTTACTCTCAGACACCACCACTGCAGCAGCAGCAACAACAACAACAACAACAACAACAGCAACAACAGCAGCAGCAACAGCAACAGTCATCATATCAGAGGTTTCCACCTCCTCCACAGGTAAATACACAACACAGCTCTTTGAGCTCACTTTAGCTATAATGTGCCGCGTCAGCCCTACCTGTGTTTCCATAACTGCTTGCAGCAGGAGATCGCTCAGCTGACCCATGCTCTTTACATTTATCGTACAGTATCAGTGCTTTAATGAAGCCCTGACCTGCTTTATAATATTAATGCAAACCAAAAACCGTCTGTAGCTACAGATGGTTTTTGTCATACTTGATTTTAGTGTGAAAAAAAAAACATGATTGAACAAAATGCAGTTTTCCATAACGTAACACATCAAAAGAAGTATTGGCTCTCGATAAGGATCTAAATGTGAAACAGCTATAGGAGGTTTAAGGCTGATTTTAAAAAACAAGCCCAAAAAAAAGGTGTATTAAAATTAGGGCAGAGGCAATGATTTACAATTAAATAATCATGGGTTTATGCTCTTGAAAAGTTTTGATTTAATGTTTCCATCTGCCTCAGAGGCTGAGAAATTGATGTTTTAGTGACCCTGTAAGTGTTTGACAGCAGACATCAGACAGGTCAATCTTTACATCTGGCTTGCGGTGATACTGGCTCTCACTTTCTGAACTCCTCCTTCCCCCTCCTCCTCCTCTAACATGTGTATAAACCTGAGCTTTGGCCAGCGGCTCAGAAGGCATGTTGTCATCGTTGTTTTCATCTGAAAGACTGCTGTACGCTGCTTCCATGTTGTTTGCCTTACATTGACCATCACCCATTTTTTAAACTGCAATATTAAAAAAAGGATACGTGCACAGATTGCTGAAGAAAACTAGATGTATAGATTTTCCCTTTGTGCACTTTTCTTTTCTAAACTGGATTTCGTCAAATCCTGATACATTTCATTGGTCATGTGTCTAGAAGATGACACAGATGTCGTATATGGTCTTAAATGGGTGATACATTAATATGTTGCATCCAGTATTAATAACTTTAAGTTTAGTTATTTAGTTAAAGAGGCTCCAGTCATTTAAATGAAATGTAAGTACCAGGAGTTGGAACACAGATCACAACATACAGTGAAACATTTCAGATGAAATCAAACCTCTGGTAAAAAGAACATTACGATGAAGCAGCCAGTGATGCAATGAGATGTAAAGTAAAACAAAACTTTCCTGTGCCACTCCCCTCCTATGGTGACGCTGATATGCCGTTATTTCATTGGTCGTTTATCCAGCTCAGCTGAGATCTTTCATTTGTATGCGTATGTCAGCAGTTGTATTTTCCTGCACATATCGTAGAGCCAATAAGTAGTAACACGATACTTGATGTGGAGACTGGAGATCACTGTTTCATGTGTCTTTGTCTCTGTGATCAGGAACTCTCCCAGGATTCATTTAGCTCCCAGTCCAGTGCTCCTCCTTCCAACCAGCCCATGGCCTCCAGCAAGAGCAGTCAAGAGGACAGCATGCAGGGTCGGCCATCCAGTTTGCCGGTGAGCCCCTTTGTCATCTTCATCTAAAAGTGACTTGTGCTTAGTGTAGCAGGGTTTCATCCACTGGACTTCACAGAAACCAACCACCTCTGTAATTTTTATTCATATAAGTTATAGTTTTTAATCCTATGAGAAAAGTCAGTCCAGTATTTGATCATTCTCTCTTGCAGCTATGGCCAGAAAATGCCTTCGGTTAAAGAAATTGACTTGTGAAATGTGTGGACCCATGTTTTAGTCAAAATGTTGACAACCCGCAGGCGTCTGGCCTGCACTAGAAAATCATACCTTTTCTTGATCTATACCAAGTTCATTAAAAGTGTGGATTATGTAACAGACAAAAAAACTGCTGATGGTTTCATACTAAGCTGTCAGTGTTAAGGCGTCCTTAGTAATTAGTGACTGCGATGACACTGAGTGACACTGATGCCAGTCCTAATTCAACTCCAATGAAGGACCAGTAAATTTGCCGATAACGTCTGTCTCCCAGACAAGCTGTATTAAGAGCTCAGTTCATTTCTCTGAACTGTTGTCTTGCTACCAAGTGATTTGCTTTGTTGTATAATGCAGGAAACCTCATTATACAGCAGTAATAGTTATCCCATAGTCGTAGACACAGTCATAAACCAGCTCTGCATGAGGACAATACATAGAAATGTGTGGTAAATATTGTTTTTTTTGGGGCCACTGTGCACTTGGATCGTCGACCAACCACTTGGATTCAGCTGCAAAAATCTATTCAGAGCAATCTGATAGACATGTAATGCTTTCTCAGAGCTGTAACGACTGTGGGTATTGCATGATTTACAAGAGTAGAATCAATATTTAGTGCTTTGGACTTCGGACACGCGTGGATTCCCAGCTTTGTTTACTGTTGTCTGTTCATTTGTCTTCTAAATTACTGATATGAGTCAGTGATTCAAACGTGTACATAAAATTTCAACTTGCTTCCTAACGTGAACATTTTTCAATATAGCAATATTTTTGTCCCAATATCTGGATATGAATGACACAGTAAAGACTAAAACTTAAATTGAAGTATAGTAATATAACAGAAAGAGTTAACAAGTGCATCACCTCTATCTTTCCTTTCTCTGCTGCCTCTGACTTCCACACACACACACACAATACACAACAACAAGGTGATTTCAGGAGTGTGTACGTGTTCAAGCAGCGCAGGTTTCTCTTGACCTTGTTAAAAAAATCTGAAATGTGTGTGTGTGTGTGGGGCATTTCTGCCAGGAAAAATATTGTTGAAAGTGAAGTAAATCTGGCGTCTGATAGCCCTCTGGCTAAGATAAAGGTGAGAGAACCCCTTTTCCCTCCCCTCCATCCTCCCTGTTAAAGAGGTGTCTCGCTGTAACACGTTGCAGTTTCCATGGCAGTGTTTATAGGTCAGACTGCAGAGCTAACCTCATTCTGGGCCTCAGGGAAGGAGAGTGAGAAATGAGATCATTAATGAGAGAGAATGAAAGTGAGAGAGTGGAGTCAGTGGCGAAGGGTGGGGGTGGGGGGTGCAGGATTGAGGGAGTGCAAGCAAATAACTTCAAATAGTGTGAGTGATTGGTTGGAGAGGGAGATTCTGCGAAGGAGGGAGGGAGGGATGAGAGGCAGCGCTGTCTTTGCCAGTAGGGGATGCCCTCAGGATGTGTTTCCCTCCTCTTTTATTTATTTCTCTTATTTATTTATACAACTCTCTGCGGGCTCAGCCATTGGCCGAGCAGGCCAGGCCAGTGCTATTTGTATTTATTTATTTATTTCATCCCTCCTCTGACTTCTTGGGGATTCCCTATCAGTGCTGTGTGATTGGCTGAGAGAGTCATTAATCTGGCTAAGGTAGAGCTGAACAGATCTCCTTTCTCCTCCTCCTCCCCTTGCACCTCTGAGAGCATATGACACTGTGTGCAGATTATACCACACTAACTGACAGTAATCACCGTGACAGCCGCAGACAAAACAGCTGACTCCTACAGGTGTGATGAGTAGATGTGCACCAGTGATACCTGTTCTACCTGGATGTGGGGCTGCTTTGATATCCAATTACACACAAGCTCTGCCACAGATATAAGACAGTTCAGGAAACCAGAAACTGCTATTTGCAAAGTTCACAGAAATACATTAAGAAGAGTTGTCATGATTATGATAGCCAATTACAGTCCGTCATTAACAATGTTGCATATGTTCATGAACTGAATTATCAATAGGGCCGGTTTATCAATTGATACTGAGTGGAATGTTTCCAGAGTTTAAAAATCTTGAATCAAAAGATGACGCAATCTGCCTGCGTTCTCAACCCAAATTCAACAATTTGTGAGACGTTTCCATTCAATATACACAGGGATTAAAGTTCCATCATTTTGATCCCAGAGATGCCATTTATGAGATCAGTGTCAATCCAAATACAAAGGGGAAGGGGCTGTTATGGAACTACCTGGCGATTCTGGCTGGCCAGCTTGGATGTGCTTTTACTGATTGAAAGCGCCGATGTATTACAGATCAATAGAACCGTCAAAAATAAAGGGAGATTGTCTTGGCTCAGAGAAACGAGGGACCGGCGAACCTTTCAGTTTGTGGTGCAGAAGGATATGTGCAGCTGTACAGCTATGTGTTGATGCATGTTCCACCACAGGAGAGTTCAGAATGGAAGTAATAACAAAAAGTGTCTGCATTAGAGAAAGAGCAGCAATATATGTGTGGACAGTTGCAGCAAAATTCTGAAATCACATGTAACATCCTAAATCTGCAAGTCATGTCTGTGTCTCTCTGAGTCAATGTGGAATATTACATTTGTTAAAGGGACAGTTCACAGAAAAATGTGCCGATGGGGGGGTGGGGAAGTGTTTGAGTCCACAAAACACTTCTGGAGTCTCAGGGGTAAACAGTGCTGCAGCCGAATCCAATACCATTTAAGTCAATCGTGACCTCTTCTTCAGACGTAATAAAACAACAGAAAAAACAAAACATGCCTCCATACTGCTCGTGAGGTTTCATCCAAGTGTCTGCAAACCGTGACTTTTAAATTCCACTCCAAATTACGTCATTTACACCACGTTTTAAGCCTAAATGTCCTTTGATAGCTTCCCCGGAGGCGCGTACACGTACCCTCGGGCATCTCGAAACACCGCAAACAGTCTCGCCCAGGGGCACGCGCCGGGTGGCTTCGTCCGCTAGCCTTGCCATTCTGTTCGTGGACTTTTAGGCTTAATACTTAGTGTAAATGACGCCGTTTCACACAAGCCGTATTGGAGGCATGTTTTTTCCAGTTTTATTATGTCTGAAGAAGAGGTCACTTTGGCTGAAAAACTGTTTGCCCCTGAAACTCCTGTTTTGTTGACTCAAATCACCCACCCCTCCATCGGCATAGTGGTGAGTAGATGAGTGAATTAAAATTTTTCGGTGAACTATCCCTTTAAGATGGAAGTATGTCTGTTCCATGATAGATGATAATAATGATCTATCATCTATCAATAATGCTATAAAATAGGCCTAACTTGGAAATACCCTTTTAACAACAAAACTAAACACTAATACATACAAGAGGTTTAGTTTGTTTTGTTAAAGTGGGAGAATAATTTTGTTTTAGAAGTTGTCAAGCAATTTATAGCTTAATATATAATAAATAGATAAATATTATCATATTGAGTCTGAATTTTGAAAATTGACACTGGCTCCCCAACACTTCTCTAACCTCTCAGGTGTCATATTCTGGGTGGTCAGTGTTCATACATGTCTGTGCACTTATACTTATGAAGGAAGTGTTGGGTAGTTTCTTTAAAAAACTTTTATTATGTTGACCAAATAAGGATGATTTTCAAAATAAGAAAAAAATGGTAGTATTTACAGTTTTGATTAGATAGACAATAGCAGTATATATTGTAAGGACCTGCAGTGATTTGTATAACTTTTATCTGCCTAAAAATGTTTGAATACAGAACCAACAGCAGCAGAGGGGGGAAGCCACATTTAGTTACTTGAGTTGCAGAGCCAGCCAGACATCACCTCATCCAGAGTACTTATGGATCTGTTTGAGCCAGGTGCTAAAAAACCCAGCGTCTGTTAGGCTGCCGTTGAGGTGGGAATAAAGGGAGTGCAGGAGGCTCAGTGCCTGCTGGAAGGCACCGGTAGGAAGGCAACAGTCTGCTTGAGAAAAGGGCTGTTGATAAGTGTTGGAGGAAGGAGGGAGGGTGGAACAAACACACAGGCAGCGATGGTGGAACTAGCTGAGCAGGTCGAGCTTGTTCCTGGTTTGTTTTTACCCCGGCTCCAGGACATGCTTGCAAAGTTAAACTGTGTTGAGTCAGTTTCCTGGAACTATGGTTGTCTTCAAAACTCTCTCTATGCGTTTGAAATCCAGGCATTTGTCTGATGCTAATCTAGAAATAATCAGTGAATGCTGCACAATTAGTAGAAAGCAATGGTCTCAAAATATTCCTGTGACCTAATAACATTTAAGGGATTTCGAGGAAAGGAATGAAGAGCAAAGAGGAGGCAGAGAAAGAACTTTTTTGTACTGCTCTCTCTTAAATGCGTCACATAATTGACTTAGTCTATAATGAATAACCACTTTAAAAGGTCCACTCCAGCATTTTCACACATTTGAACTTCAGACAACTTATTATGAGGAGTACAGCAGAGCCTGTAAATTAAAACAATTATGCAACATCCTTTGGCGGAGCTTTAGAACATTTGAATTAAAGAGCATCATAGTGATGTCATCAGGTTTTTCTTTTTTCAGCTTTGAGAAAAAGCCTGCATTACATACCGGAGATTTGAGGTCTGAAAGAAGGAGGCATCATATTGGATGTTGATACATAGTGAACCAAATGTAAGGAAATCTCAGCCTCTATAATGCCAGTTTTGACCTTTTTATTCTAATCTGTCTCACAATTCACGGTAAGTGCCTTCACATAATGTATATTATGATTTGGCGCTATAAAAATAGAATTGAATTAAAAAGTGCATAATACATTCTCCTCTAATGATCCTGTCCAGCTATTCACTTTCAGTGCTGCTCTAATTTTTGGGTTTGAACAACATTTTAGAGAAAGAAATGTTCAACTCTCTGCTTTTGCAGATATTTTTTTGAAAGGATATTTAGTTTTTCATAATAATCACATTCCACGCAACCTTGTTTTACAAAATATTTCTTCCTGATAGAACACAAAATGGAGTACAAATGTTCTAACAAGCATGCTGGGCCAGTAGGTAGTGATAGTGAGGTAGTGAGTCTACATCAATGATCTGTCAAATAACAGAGAAGAACAATGAAGTCCAGGTGATGAAGTAAATGTAGCCGCAAACTTGTAATTACACCTAGAAGTACAATCCAAATACAGAGAAAACTGTGTAAAGCCGCTGTTGTTGTTTCTGGCACATGCACATTAGACAAAGCAACAACGGGCAGTGCAAAGTAGGGTGTGACATCGTCATCGTTTTCCAAATGCTCTGTTTTACATGTACTCTGAAACTGTTTGTAAAAATTCTGTTTTATGTGTGGATGAGAGGCCCAAACACAGAGGAAAAGGTTTTCTTAACCCCATTAGTGTTGGCAGGTGGTTTTCTTTACCCTAGAATGGGCCATTTATATTTAATTTCTTTATATTTATCAGGAGTGGGTCCTCTCTATTGAGGCCGCCATGTTTTTTTTGACAGTCCTCCAACCTGGACAAACTAAACACCTTTTTGAGTTCACCACTGGATGTCACTAAATTCTACACACTGATCCTTTAAGCTACTGTTAGTTGTTTTTATTTTGAGCTAATAATTATGATAGCACTTTGGGGTGAAAGTCTAGGCCCAGAGGCTCACCTTCCTCATCATGCCTCCAGAAGAAGTAGAGCAGCAGAGTCTTTGCTGTCACTGTCAGGCTTTCATCCCTGGTTGTGACACTTCCTCTTAAC